CCCCAAAACCCCAAAACCCCAAAACCCCAAAACCCCATACGAATTCAAATATAGTAAATTCAATATATTAAATGGCATTCATCAGATTGTTTTTGATAATCATGGGTTTATTCTTGGTGCTTACACTTTTCAATTTGTCTCCAGGAGCAACAGGAATAATCCTTCTTTCTGCTGCCATTCCTGGGTTAAAGCTTTGAAATCTGACCCCCATATCTTTTGATATAACTTCTTTACTAGGTCACTCATTAAGTAAATCATCCTTAATGTTTACAATTGAATCTGAAACTTCTAATTTCACCGGTAAGACTTTTAGGTTAGTCTTAGGAGTCATGTGAATATCTTTCAAAGCTTGTTTGCTTTCAAAATTGCCTTCCATTCCATCTTGGATTTTTCTAGGATTAGCAAACTCACTAGCTCCTTTATAGTTTATGACTTGGTCTGCTTTCAATACACCTTTATTCTGATCCTGTCCTATTGGCTCTTCATGTTTAAGGCCACTAGAATTGATAAAGCCTCTACCAAAGTTCATTGTATTCTGATGCTTCTTGTCTTTTCTATTATTCTGCATCATTTCAAATTTTTCAAACGGATTCATTTGTTGTTTTGGAAGCTCCTTCTTCTCTTCTTCGTGTTTTGGATTTTTAGCTCCAAGGAATTTATTCATGTCCATTCGATTCTGAACTCCATCAAACCCATTCTTTAGCAGTGGAGTTGCAGGATTCATCTTTGGAGTCATCCCAGAAGGATTATAAGGACTTGGACAAGTTCCTTCTATTTTTCTTTTCCGGAATAAAGGAGTTGTAGTTTGAAGATCTGCCTCGGAAGTATCTTCTTTTGTTTTAGGTGGAATTTCCTGTTCTTGAATATCGTTCATTCCATCAAGTGCATCTCCTAAAGCTTCATTACATCCTTCAGCTCCGAACCATTCATGCTCAAGTCATTGCTGAGCTGAGAATCTTAAATCTGGGTCTTTTTCTAACATCGATTTTACCAAGTCAAGCCCAGCTTCTGAAATCTTATTCCAGAATCTTTGAGGATAATTAATGTCACCCTTTCTATTTTTCTCCAAGATCTTCCTACCATCTGTACCTGGAAAGGCTTGTCTTCCTGTCAGAAGGATATACAAAATAACCCCTACAGAGAAGATATCCGCTTTTCAATCATAACCTGGTGGAGGGCTTTGCAACACTTCAGGTGAAACATAACCTGGTGAACCACATGCTAGACTAAGCTTCTCATTTTCTGGAATAAAAGAGGCTAGTCCAAAATCTGCAATTTTAACGTCATTGTCATCATCAGGGCTAGCTAGGATTAAATTCTCAGGTTTTAAATCTCTATGAACGATTCCTTTCTCATGTAAGTAACCCAAACATTCTAAAATATTTTTCATAATAGTAATCGCGTCTGCTTCTGCATAAGTACGCTTATTTCTTATCCTATCGAGTAATTCTCCTCCTTCAAGAAGTTCTATCACGAGATGAACATGTTTATCCGCTTCATAGACTTCATATAATTTAATCACATTAGGATGGTCACAAGCTCTCATGATCTCAATTTCATTTAATAAAGGGTTGTCTTTACTACCTCTTTTCGATTCAAGAATTTTCTTCTTGTCAAGAGATTTCACCGCAAAAAGCTTGTTGTCACTTTTACGCTCGTACTTGTAAACAATGGCAAAGTTTCCCTTACCAATTTTATCGAGTCTCTTATACTTCTCATTCAAATCCAGAAGTACACAAAATTTGGTCAGGTTATCATACCACTGATCGATGTCCTCTTGGTTAAGACTATAAAAATCCTGATTTTCTTTTCTCCCAATAATATTGATCCCATAAAAGTACTCTCCTTTCTGATTCTTAAACTTTCCTTTGTTAATCCGACAGTTCTTAATATCCATTACACCTTTATAGTGAGTTGCATCTTTATTTTTTAGCTGGACCATCATTCCTTTCTTTGTCAAAAGATAGTGAAAAACTATAATGTGGTGAAAATTAGACATGGATTTGCCAAACCAGAAATAATCCTCAACTTGTATAACAAATATTTCCTAGTTCAACACAGAGTCTTCTAACTTTCAGTAAACATCCAATTAGACAAACTGTTATATCCTCCTATCTTACCCTTTTGAAATTCTTCCTTTTTCTTCTTCTTCTTGATCAGAGGTCCTTCAAAAACCACTTCTCCGAATTCCTCCACTTCCTTAAATATCCTCATCTTTCACAAAATTTAGCGGGTTGTTAATATCGTCATCTTCTTTATCAAAGATTTTAGAGAATTTAGACATCTGTTTCATTTTTGACAAAATTTATTATATTTGAAGGATTCGAAGGAAGGGGTTTTGGGGTTTTGGGGTTTTGGGGTTTTGGGG